TATGGCAGCCGCATTAGACCAAGGAATCATCTTGCAGGATGAGACCAATGTCGATGTACCACATCCACCCAGGTCGCCTGTTGCGCACCCGATCTGGACGCCCCAGTTGTTTCAAGCTCGTGAGCCCACCACGTTTGAATTGATGGGAATGATCGGCGATCTCCAGAGATCTGTGGTCGATTTGGCCTACGGAATGTCGGCTTCGCCACCAAATGCACCATATGCCGGGAATTTCATACCACAAGAACCCCCGCTACTGGGACGAATTGTGATCGAGCTTAGCCAGCCTGAGGTTGTCCCAAGCTATGGCAATGACATGTCAACAACAACCGGGTTCCGCTCTGATATAGCAACCCAAACCCTTGATCAGGCTGAGGCTAGAGGTAAGAACAAAGTGGGAACAGATGCTGTTCCCGTTGAACAACTGCTGTGGGCAGTCGTGGCTTTGAAAGCCGGGGGGATGAATAAGCAAACAAGTATTCGCAGTCATGACTAAAGCTGTGGATGATGCTTTCCCCACTCCAGCTGAGGGCAGTTCCAGCCAGGCGGAACATCGGGATAGGCCCCGTCATGCCAGAACAGTTCCTTCCGCTCCCAACCCTGCACCAGGGAAAAGATCAGAAAGCCAAGGCAGTGCCTGCCGACCCTTTCGCTAGTGCGTCTAGCAAGAACCCTCAAACTTCGAAGTACCTGCCTCGAGGGTGCAGAGTCTTTCATGCCCTCTACATGCCTTTGTCTAGGGCATTTCAAATTTTGGCTAAAAAGGGGCATCTTAAACCCCTTGAACCTCGACCTCTCCCGAAGAATCTCCCTGTTACACATGATGTTGCCTTGTACTGCGCATACCACCAGCAAACCGGTCATAGCACCAACGGTTGTTTCTGCCTTCGCCACGAAGTGCAAAATTTGATCGACAATGAGGTCATCCTCCCACCTACCTCAGCAAAGTTTGTCACCACTGAGTTGTTGGACTTTGAAGATACTGCAAGTATGTGATCAGGGGTTAGACCACCTGTGGGCGGGGCTTGGTGTATTTCAGATGTGGCGTTTGGCACGCACTGTTGGGAGCATTTGCGAATGCAGTTTTGTAATTTCTGGCTTGGGTTTTGAGTCAGTTCTTTGTTTTTGTTTTGAATCTGTCTCATTGTCTTGAGTCAATATTTTTGCTGAAAGGTTTGTCTTGTTGTATCGAGTCAGTCCCATTGTATAGAATGTCAGGTGATTCCGATGTTGTTGCCTCGAACACCATTTTGTTTTGTAATTATCTTTTTGCTTTCTTTTTTAGTCTGTCTCTGCTGTGGAGCTAGTTGCAACCAGGGAAATCTGAATGAAACGGCTGCGGCTATCATGTTTTTCGTGTTTATTACTACCTTGAGCTAGTTGTGCCAGAGGATTTGAATGAAACGGCGGAGCATCTCACTCACTCTTCTGCACTCCAAACTTATTGCATTGACCTAAGTTTTTCAAAACTTTTTGAACACTGCGGTGATGAAAACAAAGAGGAAGGAATTCCTCGGGTTTTGCAAAACTTTGATCAAACTAAGAGAAAGAGAGGCATGCTAAGCCCTTAATGATTGAAATCATGTTTGTTAACGTGAGTACTAGGAAGGACCCTAGCTTGATCCAGATTGGTTCCGCACTATCTTCAGTGCGAGCGATTTGTCGCTTTCTTAAAAACTTTCAAAAACAAAATGTTTTGCGCAGTCCTGCGAAGGCCTGTGTGGAATCGCTCTTGAGATTGTACAGCTTAGGATCGCTCTCAGTCTCAGGACTTGAGCCCTTGTTTTCAAACCTTGGACCTTAGTTCAGAATATTCAACGATCAACTACAACATGAGGCCTGCGTGGCCAAATTTGAAGCAACCCTCGAACAAGAGGCCAAGAAAGTCAGATCAAGAAGATCAGAACTCATCCGAAGAAGCTTGCAAAGCTAAATCAGAAGCGCCCCTCGAACAATGGGCAAAAATGCCCGATGTGCTCGAAGAGTCGAAGATGGATCTTTTAGTAAATCAAGACAACAGCTACTCTCCTGAATACGGATGGCTTCAAAATCGTAAAACCATTTGGCATGGACTTGTTACACTTTTACCCTTTGAGAGGCTCGTTGGGCCGAATACCCGGAAGGGCGACCTAGGCAAAAGTTAGAACAAGAGAAAAATACAAAAAAGAAGGAAAAGAAAAAAAAAAGGGAAGAGAAAGAAAAATGCAAAAGAAAAGAGAAGAGAGAAAAAAAAAAATAAAAAGGAATGAAAAGATACAAAAAAAGAATGGAAAAGAAAAGAAAAACAAAGCTCGCAAGGTTGAAAACCCAGAATGGCGGCCTTGGCAAAAGTTAGAGCGTAAAAAAGTGAGGGATAATACACGAGTGTACCTTACCCCGGAACTACGTAAGGCTTGATTCCCATGTTTGGGATACGTAGGCAACTTCATCCTGAAGTCCAGCCCCACGCACTTTCAAAGTGACTGTGTCTATATATTGGTTTTGACCATCTTTGTCTTTTCTGTATTCGAGAGTTTGGTTGTGATCATCACTAATGAAGACTGACTACAGTATGCTGCGGCGTTATCCAGACAAAGGACAACTTTCCGTTGCCATGAGTCGCCGTCCAATCCAGGGGCAACTTCCCGTTGCCGTGCTGTGCCCTCTAAGACAAGGGGCAATTTTCCATTGCCTCCGATCCGAGGTTGTGCATCTCGAGAGTAGGTTCCGTGCTTGTTGAGCAGTGGCCCTTTGCAAAAAATGATTTTTGAGAATTTTTACTGAGGTTGATTAATTTTCGTGAAAATTATTCCATCTTTTCCAAAACTGGACCATTTTCTTGGACCCAAAAAAGGAAAATTTTTAGTGCTCACAGCCTGACTTGCATGATTTTAAATCAAAAATCGAACAAACATGTTAATCTAACTCTCATTTCGGTCAAAATTGTTTAAATAGAAAACCAAAACAAAAAATGGTCAAAATAATGAACTAGGGGCACAGTTGAGTCAGGTTTTCTGTCTTTTCCCCCTTTATCAACGCACTTACCAGAAAGGGCATCATACTTGCCAAAAAGGGCACAGCTGAAGCTGTCATTAAAGGGTTGAAAGCTCTCTCAACCTCCGAGCAACGAGGTATCGAGCCAAGTGTGAAGTGCGGACTGGAATGGATCAAGATACTCCACTCCCTTATCAGGAACATCGACTAAACGTCACCGGAGGAAATAGCTGCGAGCTAACAGTGTTGGGCATGAACCCACAACCTCTTGTTTATTCACAGACCATACCTGGGGAGGGATGAAAAATGAGAGATTGAAGAACAGAGAGATGTGCGATGAGAGAAAAAGTATGAACAGGGTTTTGAGAGAAAAAAAACGAGCCTGAGGGCCGAGTGATGTGAGAATCACAGATCAGAAGGGTGGGAAATAATACTCGAAGAAACTGGCTCCTTGTGATTTGAGGTCTCTCGCCTTTGTAACACGTTTGTGTCTCGTGTCTTTTGTTTTGTTTTGTTTACCTCAACTCTTGTTTTGAGTCGGTTCCGGGCGTTTCTCGTTGTGTTTAGGTTATTTACCTTTTGTTTTTCGTTATTGAGTCTTTTTCACTATGTTCAGTCGTAGGCTCAATACCCAGTTGAAAACCCTTTTCTCAAATCGGTTAGTGCTCAGAGTGCTGTGTCATTCTCCACATTTCTGCAAAACAGGTTTGGTTCTTTTGTAACACCGCAGGGGTTCAACCTGGGTCACTTGGAAACAGTGAACATATGGGTTCCGGATTGCATCTGAGTGTGTTTCAGCTTCAGCAGCTTCCACCTTTGTATTCCGTCTTTTTAGATTGGACTGTTTGTTCAGGATCCGTCATGTGCAAATGAAAAGAATACTGTGTTATGGGCTATGAGTTCAGAATGAGCAGTGTTCAGAACAAGCAGTGCGTTGTATGAGCTGTGTGGATCCGCTGTGTACAGAATAAACCAAGCGCTGTGTTAAGGGCTGTATGTTCAGAATGAGCAGTGGGTTGTACAAGTTATTTTATCGATAGCTGGTTCGTTACCTAGTTATTGCAGTACAAGTGTTTGATTTTCAGACAGAAGATCAGTCTCATTTACATTGAGGTTTAATATGATGCAATGCAATGCGAAGTATGGAATTTACAAATGTAACACTTTTTCAGACAAAAAGTTTGTTTCATTTTATCGTCTTTTCAAGTACACAGTTTTGGAGAAAATAAAAAAAAAAAAACTGCCCGCGGCAGTACAAGGTACTCAAGCTATCAACAAAAAGTAAAGCAAAACAAAAAAGAAAAGTAGTAAAAGTTTGGATTAGCATCGATCATCTCAGGCCTACGGGTCTGTCCTCGTCCTCTTCCTGGATGAAGGTCCAGGAGCATCGTCATCAGCACCGTCATCTGATCCCGAGCCATCTCCGGTCTTCTCCTCGGACAACTCTGCCTCCGTCTCTGCCTCGGCCTCCGACTCATCATCATCGGGAACTGGTGCCCGTGAGCTACTCCCAACATGAGTGTGCCCCGCTTTGGTGCGGGGATATACTCTGCCATCTCAGACAGGAACAGAAGGCCCAGCTGGAGCACCTCCTGCAGTAGGAATCTGGAATGGTGGCTGAAAAGCACAAATGGTAAATGCATCAGTATGCTACGCAAAACAGGGTATGAATGCCGAATACAGTGTGTGAGTACAGTGCATGACTGTCGTGAGCAGTGTATCAGTACAGAATGCAGTGTATGAGTACAGTGTATGAATGCTGTGAACAGTGTGTCGGTACAAAATGTAGTGACCGAGTGCAATGTATGAATGCCGTGAGTAATGCGGTGAACAGTCTGTGGGCTACAGTGTATCAGATGCTGTGAGGGCCGTGTATCGAGTGTTGTGTTGACAGTGCAATGCATCAGATTATGTGAAACAGTTTATGTATGGTTTGAGACTGTGGTCAGAAGAACATACCGGAATACTGTAAATGGCCAGCAGGTCAAGGCTCCGCTGGAGCATCCCCATCACAGAGGCGGTCAGCTTCAGGGACTAACGAGTGTACTCGGAGGAAGCCTGCAAAAGTGTTTGAAACATCAGTATTCTGCGAAACATCAAATGAAATGGAATGACAATGCAAAATACAAAATCCAATAGTACATACCGGGGGCAAGTCGTAGAACCCGACTAACTCGTGATCAGCCAGAGGGGGAGCGAAGAGGATCTAATAGTCTCTCCACCCTGCCCTCGGCATGTCGTCATCGCGGGCAATGTTGGCCAACTAGCCTCCCATCCTCTCTGGGTCCCACTCCTGCCACAGACCCGAGCCACCCTCGGCACTCCTGCTCCTGCCCTAGCCGCCGGCGCCCCTGGTCTCTCTCTCTCAGCTCGACGGCAACTGCTCAAAGGCTGCATGATGTAGGTCTGGACGTACTTCGTGTAGTCGCCCTCGCCCCTGAAGCCCTTAGCATTCCAGCCGATCGTGTAATCGGCCATCTCCTCCAGGGTGTACCTCTTTGTGTCCCTCATATGGACCGGGGGTGGACCTGGAACTATCTGCTCTGGTAAACCCAGGGTCTGGGCAGGAAGCTCTCGCCCAGGTACCAAGCCCGACAGACCGGGCCTCCAGCAAAATCCTGAACCGGGCGGTCTCCTCAGCACTAGCAAACCGCTCCCGAACCGCAGCTGGCAATGGAGCCCAGGGCTGCCAGGTGATCTGAAAGTGATATGCAGTCAGTTATCTACTGTTATTGAAAATACAGTGCAAAGCGAAGCTTGAAATAAACTCTAGAATTAAACATACCTCTGTGGCGGTGATGGTGTCGAAGTAGCGCCGAAAGAATATGAACGACTCCCGGGGTCTCCGCACGCATCTCACATCAAAGCAGTGGGAGAAAGGAACGCCGAGAGGGGTCTCCTCGTCGGGTACTGAGGCAAGCCTCGGGAAGTAGGCGTAGACCCACAACTGCAGAGCAAATACCAGTGTGCTTATCAGATAAAACAGAATGCAGAATAAAGCAGAAATGGCAGAACCGTGTATTGGGCAGTGTATTGTGCAGAGTGTACAGTGTGCGCAATATACAGTCAGTGTAAAGCATGACATGTTTGCAATGTGTGCAGTGTACAGTTAGTTGGCAGCAGATTGTGCAGTATGTGAAGTATTGTGCAGTATACAGTCAGTGTAAAGCAGATTATATGTGTACCGTGTGTGCAGTATATGAAGAGTGATACACAGTGTGTGCGGTGTACAGAGTACAGATAATGTAGAGCAGAAATGTAAAACAGAGAAAGAAGATGTACCTCCCAAGCCTGCCAGTAGCCTCCGAGCAACTGTCCGCTGAGGCGAGAGGATGAACTCATGTATCCATAGAGTGTAGCCAAGGCTGCCCCACCCCAGTCGTAGCGCAGGATCTGTGTGACGTCCACCAAAGCGCTCAGTAGACAGAGAGGCACGGTGTTCGCCCGGTCGGCGAAGAGGGTCGTTCCCAGCAAGAACATAAGGAAGCCGCGTGCATACCGCTCCGCCTCCTCCTGAGCCATCGGTGCCTCCTTAGCTAAAGCTGGCTGAATCCGGAAGTGGTCCTCGAACCACGAGTATCTAACGAAGCCTGGACGAGCAAGAGGTGGTAGGTCGCCAAGCAAGTGCATCTGAGTGGCTTCCCACTCGTCCATGTCTGTGTCAAAGGGGATCGGATCACCCCTTACCCCGATGCCGGTGAGCATCGAGAAGTCATAGGGAGTCATCGTCATGTCTCCCGTGGCAGAGAAGCGAAAGGAGTCGGTGGTGTCCCACTACCTCTCCACCAGAGCAGCAAGAAGAGGCCTGCTCGCGGTAAGGCGTGAGAGTCCCCTGCAGAAGGCGCCGAAGCCAGCCTGGTCGACAATGTGACGGACTGCATCCGGTAGCTCCATGTACCAATCTCGGGCGGCGACGTTCCCATACCCCCGGAAGGCATGGGAAGCCCTCTGTATTCAAAAGCAAACAGTTGCGAAGCAATATTCAATGTACAGTTTTGAAGAGCATTCAGAATTGGTAACCACGCAGCGTGTGTGCACGTGTTCAGATTCAAACAGACATCGGGTGCCGGTGTGCTCGTAGTGAACTACAACATATGATGTGTTAGTGTGTTTGAGTGGTTCAGTACAGATATAGCGTGCGTGCACGTGTTCAGATTCAGACAGACATTGGATGCCGGTGTGCTCGCAGTGAACTATAGTGTATGATGTGTCGGAGTGTTTGAGTGGTTCAGGGCAAATATAGTGTGTGTGCGCATGTTCCAATTCAAACAGATACCGAATACAGGTGTGTTCACAGTCAACTACAGCATATAGTATATCGGTATATTCGGATCAAATAGTTAAAGGCAGAATCGACTATGGCAGTTAGGTATTCTACTTTGCAGAAAATGAAATGGGGAAGAGTATACCTCGGAAGCACCGTATGAAAGGTGTGTCTCTGGCTCTTGCAGAAGCAGCTCTGATGGTACCTTCCTATCAAAACTCCTGAACTGGCGAAGTCCGTTAGGAGGCAGCACATGAATCACCGGTCTGTATGTCGCCGGATCAAACGGCCGGATGTGAAGTGGCAAGAGCTCGGCCTTTGGGTCCATATCCATCTCCGGGGAGCCCCGCCGCCTGGAAGATCGTCTGCCATCTTAGAGAGAGTGTGAAAGTGGCCGGGAATGTGAAAATCGGGCGAAAATATGTGTAGACACCCCATTTTTGACCGTCCTCAAGACTTGGACGTCACCGTTTGAACACCCGGTGATTATCCATGTTTGTGTTCGTTTGGAGTTCCCGGAGGTCCCGGCTACGCGCCTTGCCTCAGGATCTCCGAACTCGACTGTTTGGTGTCTGGTTTTGCACCAAACACTTGTGTTTTGCCTTGGAGGGGTAGGGAATGCCTTGTGAGGCATCCCCACACATCACCGGCCATGGCCAGAGGCCACCGGCTGATGTTTTGTTGCCATCGGCAATATATATTGCCGGTCGGCATCATTTGTTGCCAGTCGGCACTCAATTTTGACAAAATGGCAATTTTGAGCAGCCGACTACTGTTCATCTACTTTATGTAGATATTTTGTGCCAGCTGTGATAGCTGGCACCAACTCTGTTTCCCTCCATACACGTGTATGGAGGGATTTCCCTCTAAGCAAGCTTGTTGTGTAAGCTTTGCAAGGGGGACTTCTATAAGAGGAAGGCTCTCCTCCTTCTTCTAGGTTAGCAAGTTTGAAGAGAAAACCAGAGTTTATACATATACATACACTCTCTCTCTATATTTCCCCCTCTCTCCTCCTTTATGTGTGTTTGGTGGCCTTAAAGTGTATTTCTACCTTACTTTTGCACTAATACACACACTATTACACCTTGCTCCAAGATTGAGGGGCTTTGAGGGTTGATTCTTGAGTTTTTGGACTATTTTTGATCAAAAGAAGAGGGTTGCATTGGCTGTTCTTGAGGTGTGCTTCAAGGGTAAGCACTTTGCTTTAGTTTTCCCAAACTTGCACTAGTCTTTTACCTATCTTGCTTGCTGATTCAGTTTTTGTGCATAACATAAAAAAGGCTTATATTTTCATGCTTAAGAACTTTCATTAAGGGTCTTTTGTGGTTTGAGTTCAAACTCACCCTCTTAGGCCTTATTTGGCCTTTTTGTTGCCTCCTTGGTGAGGCCTTGTTTGCTTGAGAGTTTTGGTCTTCTCACCACTGAAAACCAGTGGATTTTTAGTGGTGAGGAAGGTGGTTTGAAGTCTTGTATAGGGGAGGGACACCCCTCTCCCTTCATTGCCTTATTTCCTTGCCTTTTGGCTTAAAGGGCAACTTGCATGCTTGATTGATTTTGGCCCTATTTCAGAGTTTTTTTGGTGTCTCTAGGTCACATGTCATCTCTGTTTTTGGTCAGATTTGTGCCCTCTTGCATGCTTAACATACTTGCTTTGTATTCCCTTATTTGGCCTGGAAATGCACCTTGTGTTTAGGCCATGATTCTTGCATGTGTTAGCCTAATTTCATGAAGGTATTGGCATTATTTTACCATGTTTAAGGCTTGTTGGCCATCTATTTCAGTCATGCTTGCCTTGTTTGGTGTCATCTCTTTGTGTTTTGGCTTGTAAGCTTTGAGCATATTGACCTCTAGCATGCGTAGCTATGACCATCCTCATGATTTGGCATCATTTAGGATCGTATTTCAGTCCATGAATCATGTTTGTATGTGTGCATATGTGACCTCTTTCATGCTTTAAGGATATGCCCTTTTATGCCCAAACATGAGTCTTGGTGCATGCATCTCATCGGAGCCACTTAAGCTACCATATTAGTGGGTTTTGGAGTCCATTTTTGCATGCTAAGTTTCTGTTTTGCTTGTCTAATTCATGCCATGAATGGTCATGCAAGTGGATGTAAAGTACCCCCCTTTTGTGCCTTAGCCTTAGGTCCATTGGCTTGCATGTTGCCATGAGTGTCTGTCCACCTTTTTGGGCACTTTTGGCCACTGTTTTGAGGTGGATTGAGGTCTGCCTCTTTATGGTTTAAGGCCACCCTTGCATGCTTGTCTCATGTTTGTTGCATAATTGCTTCATAGGGTGTTGTAACATGATGATCCTATTGCTTAAACCATCTATGTTTGCATTGCATTTGCATCTTGCATGCCTAGCATTGCATACTTGCTATGGTAGTTGTATAGCATTTGGCATGCCTTGCATCTTAAATCTCATGTTGCATTTTTGAGTCATGCTTGCATAACATGCATTGCATTACTTGGTTTGGGGTGTCAAACCAAGTGTGAGGATTAAGGAGCGTTCATACTATAAGTGATGTAACGCGTCTTCACTCTCGGTCACCGGGGCCCTTGACTTAGACATGATAGGGTCTTGGTTCTCATTTGTGTGTTGCATGCATTTTTACATCAAATGGCAAGCTTGATCACTTAGGCTATCATGCACAATTGATGGCTCGAGGATCGAGGGCCATGCTTCCCTGAGTTCAAAGCATGATGGGAAACATGACCATGCTCACATGTGCCTGAAATCCCATGCTATACACTGTTTGTCCTCTGTTGCTGTCAAAACTGTCTTCTACAGGAAGCTTCTGCCGACCGGCAGCATCCAATGCCGACCGGCCATTTGTGAATGGCCGACAACTCCATCAGAAGCCGATGCAAATTACATACGGCCGGTGGGCATCTCCTCCAGCCGATGGTATTTTACAGTATGCAAGGAACCTGTCCCAGAACTTTGGCGATTTTCAGAGAAGCAGGGCAGTGTAAACAGAGGCGGCAGTGGTATGGTACGGACTTTTCGGACGAGACGGTTTCGAGCATGCATCATTCGCGCATCCCAAGGCGGGGGCTGTGGCCACCTTTCTTTTTGCATTCATTCAGTCAATTAATTAGAAATTCTGTAATAATTTATGCGTTTAATATTTGGACTGTAATATTTATTTGGACCCTCCGAGTGAGGGTAATTATGTAATAAGTGTGCGTGAGTGTGTGTATGTCTTCCAACCCCACGTCTTTCTTCCCTTTTATTTACCCGCTTATGATGGTAGACTAGGGCATATTTAAAATCAGCATACCTTATGCTATGCATGCGTGCATTCATACATTTGCCTTGCATGCACCAGGCTCGGCACATCATTCTAACTGCATTTGTACTTCAATTTCAAATTGAATACGTGATAGTTGTAGCATTTCACATGCCATGTTTAGGTTAGCCGAGCCTATCTTAATCGCATTCTATATGTGTTGCATTAGCCACTTTAACATGAACTAGGATCACGCATGTTTGCTAACCAGTTTATTGTTTTGGCTTGGAGTACGATGTAAGTATTTTATGCTTTAGCATACAGCATGCGTGTGAGTGTTGCCATAATAGCATGATTACCATGTGGCTAGATGCTTATGTGATAAACTGTTTGAATGCCTGTGGGTGAAGGTTAGATTGCTTGAGTTGGAAAAACTCGTTGAAATCTGTATTTTAGCCTACTTGCGAGTAGCAAGGTTCAAAACATTTTCCCAAAACAAACGGATATGCAATGCTTATTTCCAAATTAGGTAATCTAGTCTATACTTGTTTGCGGTGCACATAACGTAGTAATTCTAGGCTAATAATTGGAATAAGAACACGTAATGTTTTCAAAAACGGATATCACGGTTAGTAGAGGCCGATCTTCGGATCGGGCAAGAGGGGGTGCTCATAGCTGACCTTCCCCAATCGTACCCTAGCTCCCGAGCCGAGGCAACTCTGGTGATGATGGACATGTGGCCTTCGGCACCGAGTCAGGGTTTCCTAAATTCCCCCATAAAAAATATTTAGGTGGCGACTCTGTATCTGGCAAAGCAGTCCATGTTTGGCACTTCTTTTTCTAAAAATCTGTTTTCTCAAAATGATTCACCAGATTTGGACTCTTTGGTTCAGGTTAAGAACCGTAACACAAATCGAGTCCGAACTGTAGTAGCGGGGCCCCCCCCACGCGGACGCGTCTACAATATGAAAAGTCAACTAAAAAGTCAACCCCGAGAGGGCGAAAAATGACCGGAAAGGTCGGGGTG